GCATGAATTACTGTTTGCTTGTTTGTATGTGAATTGATGATGCTGATTGAGAAAAAGGAAAATGAAAGGTTGTGTAGACTGATAATTGTATCATGGGTCAGCCTGACTAGATATCTTGGGAGATGGTGGACGGACCGGGTCCGTAGGGAACCCTACCGGGATTGTGGTCTCACATACCGGATGGGGTATGGAGATCTTATGGTTTTGGCGCCCATACCGGACGGGGTATGGGGACGGCCCGTTTCACCCTCATACCGGACGGGGTATTGAGGTTCATGGTTTTGGCGCCCATACCGGACGGGGTATGGGGACGGCCCGTTTCACCCTCATACCGGACGGGGTATTGAGGTTCATGGTTTTGGCGCCCATACCGGACGGGGTATGGGGACGGCCCTGGAAACTGATTATGAATGTTAAAGATTAACGGGTAGCGGAACCCCTATGGACCCCCACGGATACTAGTAGGCTGGTAAATGAAAGAAAAAGATATGTTGTACAATGATTGAATTACAAGAGGCGTGATAAGTGTTATGTTTTACAGCTTAGATTATTCAATGATTATGATAATGTTATTGTTTTTCTCATATTGTTTTCATAAATTCCACCAAGGTAAGTGGATGGTAAAAGTTTTATTATTGATAAAAGGTTTTGTTGTAAATTATGCTCCATTGGTCTTTTTGTGTTTTTCTACCCACCTTTACCTCCGTGACGGTGAGATATCGTGATGTTCTTACTGGGCTAGTGTAGCTCACTCCTTAATTAACCATTTCAGATCAGGAAGACATGGTTCCCGAGCCCGTTCCGCAGGAGGACGACGAAGGGGATGCCTAGAGACTCTGTAGTCATACGCATAGTTTATTTTCGAGTTTTCTTTCTTAGTTAGTTTAACCTTTTATATTTTAAGTACGTTTTTGGTTTTTCGTGTAAGGGATGTTAACTGAAATTTTGATCTCGCTTCCGCATTCGATATATTTAAATACTCATTTCTTTTTAATATTTCCGGGGCCGTTACATTTGGCAAGAGGGAGAAATTAAATTTTTGGTTTATTGGGTCATTTGAAATTTTAAACAGAATTGGCATCGCCGCCAACAAACTAACGCTACCTTCAGAACTATCCATGATCCATAACGTATTTTATGTGTCCATGCTACACAAGTACAACCCAGATCCCTCTCACATATTGGCCCATGAGCCCCCTTTACTCTAGGAAGATCTGTCATACGAGGAGGTACCGGTCAGTATTGTGGACCAAAAGAGCAGAGTATTCCGCAACCGAGAAATTCCCTTAGTTAAGGTCCTATGGCAGAATCACACACAGGGAGAGGCCACATGGGAGATAGAATCAGACTTTAGAGCCCAGTGTCCCCAATTATTTAATTGAGCGAGAGAGAGACAAATTGAAGAACCAAATTTCTTTTAAGGGGAGGGGAGTTGTAATACCCATAATTAATTTCAAAAAAATTTAAAATTAATGTATAAAATATTTTTTTTAAATTATGAATTTTATTTAATGTAAAAATTAGGAAAAATTGGTGGAGGATAAAATTGAAAATAATTTTTAAAAAATGAGTGAAAATTTGAGTTCTGGAGGTGTTTTTGAAAGAAGAATAAAAAACTGGGGGTCAAAACAAAATTTAAGAAAAATGTGCCACGTAGGACCGCCCAATCAGTAGCCCAAACGAATCGGAGCGCGGCGTGTGGCAAGGCACGCTGACGCAATGCCACGCAGGCAATCCGCGTGCCCTCGATCGGATGGTCCAGAATTATTCTCACGCACGTGGACGATCCGGATTCATTCCCTCATCATGTGCGATTGTACGGTCTAGATCAAATCGCGATGAACGGTCCAGATTCATTTCCTATTTAAACGCGATCGGATGATCGAGATCAAATGTAATTGATGACTCAAATTAAAAGAAGACAGATATAAATATCTAACTTCACATCGAACCCTAACCCTAGCCGCCAACCCCCTGCCGGAGAAGAAGAACCAGTCGCTGGGAAAGAGAGCCGACTGCCGCCCACCGCCGTACCAGAGCCACCTCCGACTGCCAAAAGAGGAAAAAAAAATTTTGTTCGCTCAAAATTCAATTTGAAACACCCCATGACTAAATTAGAACAAAAGGACCGGCAAATGAACCAGAAACCGTGGGTAAAGCCTGGCGGCACCGCCGCAGAAAAAATAAAAAACTACCTCCGATGAGACCCTTCCCAATTTCCGTTTCATGTGATTTTTCTACCATTGTATTAACCATTCCATTTTCCATAAGTTGACCGAAGAAAAACGTCCAACTGCAAAAGTGAGCTGGCGAAGCTGCTGTACCGGAAAACTCCGTTGCTGGTGAGCTTCTGTTTTGCGATTTTTTTTTGTCAACCGAGGTCCCTTAACATATTTTCTCGTAGGGATAAGTACAAAACTTGTCGAAATCGATCGAAATTGGCCAAAAATGGCCAATCCGAGGCAAACTACCGCCGCAGGTGGTGGTGCCACTGTGCCGAAATTTTAAAATTGGTCGAAAGAGGGTTTTAACATCGGTTTTGGATTTTTGATGATATTTCTAAGTACTTAGAGCGTGTTTTAATCTCCAAAGAAAAATTTAAGGAACTTGAGAACCACCAATAGGCACAGCTAAAAGTTTAGCGTTCAGACACCGATTCACGAAAGAATCTCTCACCCTATTCCATGTTATGGAATTGAAGTTTAATTATAAATAATGTAGTATTTTTTACAATTTAAAAAATGTTGATAATTAATCACAGGTTACTAATAGAATCAGAACTGGTTATTATTCACTACTGATCCTATTTGATTGATTTTACTATTTCAAATGCATAATATTACACTGGAGTTGGTATGATGATTCAGTGGTATTTATTTTATGCATGTATTGCTTGTTCTGCGTGATTTACAGTTAAATAGTGAAACTGAAAATTAAATGTAAACGGAGAATTATTTGATTAAGTGAATGAATGAATAGTAGTCTTAATAGATATCTTGGGAGATGGTAGACAGACCGGGTGCATATGATACCCTACCGTAAGCATTATCTCATACCGGACGGGATATCAATGATTGGTATTTGGGTGCTCATACCAGACGAGGTATAGGGACAGCTCGTTTCACCCTTATACCGGACGGGGCATTGAGGGATAGTATTTTTGGTGCTCATATCGAACGGGGTATAGGAACTGTCGGTTACTTGAAAATGTAGAATAAGGGTTTACACGTATTGAGGATATTCCTATGGACCCCCATGGATACCAATAGGTAGATAAAAAGGAAAGGTTGTTGTGCTGCTTAATTGAATATGAAATTATGATATTGTTTGTGTTATTGTCTCTACAGGTCAGTTTTGCAAATTTCGCTACGGTAAGTGTACAATAAATGATTTTACGTATGATAAATGAATTTACTTAAATTAAGAGCTCCATTAGTTGTTTTCATAATTTTTACCAACTTTCATTTCTATATCGATGAGTAGCATGACATTCTTGTTGGGTTAGTGTAGTTCACTTTTTCATTAACTATTTCAGATGAAGAGAACCAAGATTTAGATCCCGATCCACAAGTGGGTTGCGAATAGAATGTTCAGTTGTTTAGTTTTAATTTATTTCTTTGATTATTCGTTGTTCTTTTAGAATGATCATTCTCGTAACCCTATTGGGTAGTCTGAAGTATTGTGTAAGGAATGTAAACCCTAATGTTATTATTTCGCTTTTACATTCAATTTATAATTTATTTCTTTTCAAGTTATTGGCCGTTACAATATAAATAATGGTACATTTATCAATATTCAATAAATAAAGACAAAATTCATGGACTAATCAAAGAGAAACCACAACTTCTACAAAAACAAAAAAAAAAAAAAAGAGAAAAGAAAAAAGCATAACTAATTAACAATTAGATCTTTCATTAAAAAAATTTCTATATATATATATATATATAGAAATAAGTATATAACATATATGAACTAACAACTCATTATTGAGTAATTGAATTACATTAAGACACATATAAAGATTGACCCATAATTCACAATCTTGACATATCACATTATTCATAATTTTGTAAGTAAAATTTTTTACGAAAGAAATATATAAAATAATCTATAATTTTATGCGAAAAATACATTACAATACCTAATTTAATATGAGAACATATACCAAGTAAATAATAGAAAACACAAAAGAAAAATTCTTCATTCAGTGCTATTTATTTGTAGAGAACTAATGATTGTTGGTTTCTTTATATGTATGGTAAAACTTTTTCTACATGTTTTCAAACAATTCGAATTCAAGTTGATTAAAACTTTGTTTGTGTTCGGTCAATTCCAATTTGAATCTTTTAAGTATCAAAAGAAATTCAAACATGTTTACGAATGATATAAATTCTACTTGATCGAAATTTCTTTGAACCAAACCTAAACCTCAAAAGACTCTGATTACTACAATAAAGTGAAGTCAAATGTGTTTAAAATATATTGTTTAAAAATTGACTAATATTTATATTGAAACTCCGACAGCCACTCCCTATTTTAAAGATACACATATATATATATATATATATATCGCAAGTCTCCTAGTCCTATGAAGTTGCTCAATATCATAATACCATAGCTGTATGGGGCATCACAAAGTGCTTGCCTTTTCCTTTACGACAAATCTCACAAAGACTCTTGTTTGTTTGTTTGTTTTATTCATTAAAGTGGTTGCTTTTTCTGTATTTACATCTTATGTCTCGCCATTTTATGAGCTCAAAATAGCACACTCGTTCAATCAGACAAAAAGAAAGAGGCACACGTCACGTCATGATTATGAAAAAGAAAAATTCATTTACATTGGTATGAAACCAAAGGTTCTTCATGATCAATTGTTAGTCTATGTATTGTATAAGAAGCTAGGTTTGATCTCTGCTAATCTTAGAAACTCTCCTGACTTAATAAATCTGCTATGAAGATAAACAAGAAGAAATCTTTATTTGGGTATAAAATGGAATCAGTAGAAATAATAGCACAGCGTCTGACATATTGAATATTAGAAGGGAATAATACATGTACAAGTACATAGGCATATATGACTACGAATTCACTGAGCATTATTGAGATGTTCCAACAAAATTTCCAATTTCGCTTCTCAAACAACCTAACACCGCCAATGCTGTCTACCATAATCAAAGAATGAGTAATGTATTAGCCGGACAATCCCATCATATTAGTACCGGCCTCAAGTACATAGCAGTTTTCCAGAAACTCTTAGCCCTAAAAAGCCAACATACCCCCAACCATTTACATATATACTTATTTACAGACGCCGAAAAATACACGAAAGCAAAGCAAAATTTTAAATTGTACCTGAAACTGATATCTCCATTGAATTTGTTAGATGTCTAAGTTGGCAGAACCCCCAATATACCTAAACATATATCCTTCCAATGCAACTATGAATTCACAGCATAAACTTCACAGAGTATGTGCAAATTTAGGCATCAGACTTAATGCTAATCTTTTTTTTTTTTCTTTTTTTAAGTTGTATTTTAAGTCCTGGGCTCCAAAATCAGGATAGATCAATAGGAAACCTCAAATGCGGAGAGGACAAGTAACCACAAACTTAGCCTCCTACCAGTCATCAAGCCAATCTGAAGCACCAAGATCCTCTCCATCCTGAGATGGGGATACCGGAGCAAGAGAGCAGTCATCAGGATGACTTTCCAAATGTTGAGCTATCCGGGAGATTATCTCATGAGGAACAGGAAAACTATGATCTCTGATCTCTTTCCAATCAACACTATCAAACCAAGGATGACTCTTAACGGAATTGGCACCTTGGCTTCCTAGTCTCTTACTTTCATCAACTTCAAGTAACTAAACAAAATTTTTCAATTAAAAGTAAGCAAGAGAATAATTCTGCCTCAACCATGATGCTTTAAGAGGGAAAATAACAAAAATATTGGCTAAATAGATATTAGTAAAACCTTAGTTATGAGATCAGCAGCATGAGGACTTAGAGTCTGAGGTAGAGTTATCTGTCCTTTAGCAATCTTGGCAAATGTGTCGAGCTCGCTTTCTCTCCAAGACCCAAAAGGCATATCACCTAGTAGCATGAAATAGATGAGAACTCCCAGTGCCCACCTGTTCAATTTACCAAAAATTTTTAGGTGCTGCTGACAGTTCATAGATAATAGCTCTCTGAAAAAATCAAGCAAACAATCTTTACCATATAGGTAAAATTAATGGCCTAAACCTTAAAGAATAATATACCAGTATGCATGATATTTGTTCACCAAGGAAAGATAAATTCTCTTCCCCATACCAACTCCTTTTTCCCTTTTCTCATGCTTTTGCCTCCTTTCCAGCAATGGTGCACATTCAAAACCATGATAAAAACTTATACAATGCCTTCTTTCTTGAAATATATCAAGAGAGAAATGACATTACCCAGACCTGAAACAAAAGCAACAAAGGAAAAAAAGAACCTACACCAAAGGGATCAAGCATGGCCTTGATGTCACTGATCATTTTTCTCATCTTTCAAATACTATAAGGTTGGGTTTGACTTAAATGCTAATTCTATTAAACAAAAGCGAGAATAGAATGAATACAAATGAAGAAAATGGTTTAAATGAATATAAAATTTTAAATCCAAATCGATTCTATGTTCCACTTAAGGTTTTTCTTAGTCACCCTACATCAACAAGTGAAAATACAAAATTCATTATTATATATTTTAGAAAATACGTAGAGTTGTTCCCCTAGATAATCAGCAGATTGTAATTAAGTTCTATATATCAAATAATTAAGATTATGAATAAGAGAGTAAACAGACTTGAACCAGGTAGAGCTCGAGTTATAAAAGTTGTAAATAAGGCAGTGCTCACAATGAGATATGAGGAAGCATGACTAATTTAAGGAATGCTTCAACTCCAGAATATATAAATGTTCTAATCTACTAATGGCGGCGGCTGAACTGCTTGCACCGATGATTGTGAAAGATTTTTATGTTGAGAGAAGAATGGAAAGAAAGTAGTATTAGCAGGCACTAAGGAGGTGCGGCAATGATAGAGTTACAAACATATAAAAACCTCGTTTTTCTTCTTTCTGAGATAAATAGCTCCAACTATAATCTAGAGGGTATTTGTAGCCACAAGTAGGTATAATGATCAATTTCCTGCCTTCCCATTTTCTATGTATGCAATGCAAGTCCATAGAAAGCTGAGCTTCCACTGTCTTCTAGACGCTCAAACCAAAAGCAGAAACATATTTTTCATGCAGGATGTCTCTATTTTTCTCATAACTTCTCATGCAGAAATTACACTACCTTGAGCATAGCTCACAACACAGAGAAAACAAGTGGTCTGAAAATAAATCATTTGGTTGGCAGCATATATCCTCAGTAAAATTAACATGTATCCTTCAAATTAGCAGTTATGTGAAACTCATGCATTCCACTTCATACCCAATTATTCAAGTCAAATGCTTTAATCATCAGAGACCTTGAGAACTAAGAATCACTCAAATAAAAGGATTTTATATTTAATGCAAAACTTTAAAAAAAAAATAGAATGAGAATATTTACCAGTCAGCAGGGAGACCGTGGCCTTTTCCCTGGACAATTTCTGGGGCTAAAAAATCTGCTGTTCCACAAATTGTATATGTTCTCTCGAGAGATAAGTCCTTTCCAAATCTGAAATCTACAACCTACAACACAGAAAAAGGTAACAAAACATAAAGAATCATTATCTGCTGCTTTTTACATAGGTAGAAGAGGTAATACCATTTCAAAGAATGGCTTCATGGTAGAAAGCATGCTGAATGGAACAAAGAATTCCACCAACCTGTAAATGTCCTGTTTTATCCAACATTAAAATGTCAGGAGACACTCCTCTGTAGAGAACACCACTCTGAAAATCCAAATGATAAATAGACATTAGAAAACAAAAATAATAACACAGGCATAAATACATATATTACAATAATATTTGTATTCAAGAGAGAGAGAGAGAGAGAGAAACAGACAGACAGACAGACAGAGACAGAAATTGAAGGCAGAAAGAGCTAAATTCTAGAGAATCAGACCTCATGTAAATCTTCCAATGCAGTTACAATAGAGGCTACACAGAACTGTGCAGATGGTTCGCTAAGGGGCGAGTGAAGTATTGAAGCCAAAGGACAAGCAAGGCAAGTATTTAGCAGAATTCCAGCATGTGTTTCATCAGTAAAAGTGCATAAAATCTGTGGCACATGAGCTGTAGGGCTTATGCTCTTCATCAGATCCTTTTCTTTTAACACTTGTGCTTCCTTTCCCAACCTCTTGACCTTCTGCTTTGAAAATCTTTTCAAGCTAAGCAAATTCTCTGATAGCAAGTCACATTTAGAATTTTCAAGGAAAAGAAAAGCAGAATTAGGATTTTGAATGCTCAATTAGTCAAAGGAAAGAAAGAGAATACTAGAGCCACTTCCCAATATTATACACTATATTCAACATCATTCCTGCTTTCATTCCAAATGTGTCACTCAAGTAAAAAGGACTACTGTCATAAAATTAAGGCCATGGAATGGAAGGAAAGCAAAAGATTGTAAGCATCAAGATGAACCTGGATCTCTCAAGAGGACAAGCCCAATTTCGCTACAGTCAGTTGAGTATAAGCATGTTCTCCATTCCTAAACATAAAGTTCAACGAAAAGATCAAAATATTTTTATTTTCTGCTAGAAGGATCTGAAAATAACTAAGGCAGGAGAGATCACCACTTACCAGATCAGAAAGTCCTACTTTAGCAAGACCAGAGATATCAATACTTTTGATAGCCTCCTTTGGGAAATTGGAAGATGAATCTCTTAACCTAAATAATGTCAACAAGCATATCAGACATATCAAACATTTACGATGAATATCTCTAACAATTCTAGAATAATTGTGATGTTTGGTCTGGTATTACAATCAAGGACATTCAGAAAGGACGTTAGATATGCATGATGAAATACTCTAAATGAGACTATTGTCATACTTTTGATCAGCCTGAGAAACCTTGGTTAATGGCCCACAACTGAATCAAACTTCTCCTTTGTTAAAACTGAACATATGACATCCCCCACAGCGACTGCACTTAAAGAACCCAGAGGTTCATCCAGAAGCACCCATTCACCAAAATGGCTTCCTTCTGTCTTTTCCAGAGAGAACTCTAAATCACTCTGCAAATTATCATTCTCCTTAAGATTGTCAGACTTAAGGCTGGAAACTTTAGGATTCCCTAATAAGACTGCACCAAAAGTGATTCTCACTGCCCCCTTTTGGATGATATACAATGCAACCAGCCCTTCATTCTGCAAATAAAGAGTGAAATATAAGAACAAAGTGCAGCAAAAAGTAAATTACATAAAGAAGGAACATCTTAAGTGTACTTTTATGATAATTTTAAAATTGTCTTATTTTCAATTGTTTTAGGCTATTTAGCTAATATTAGTTATCTAGGCAGATTTTAAGTTGCTCAGGATTTAAGAAACTTCTGTTTTATTCTTTATTAGATAAATCTTATCCTTATTTGGCAGAAATTAGTGCCTATATAAGGTACAATCTGACAGAATGGACCAGATTGAAATTGAGAGTTTTCTTCAGTACATCCCCTATTATATTTCTTCCCCTGTATTCTCTTAAGTTCTATCTGTTTTTGCTTTTGCTCCCTCTGTTCTGCTCTGTCCCCCTCCCCAGATTCTCTTTTTCCCTTGTCTGTCTAGTGCTCCCTCTTAATTCATTCTATTCCCTTATGCTTTTTATTTGTCAGTCCTACATTTCTCTAACTCTATCCTATCTTTAATCACTCGGTATCAGACTTGAGTTGTCCCATATTACAAAGCACATGATATAAGAAAAATATACATTGCTTAAAAAGCCAGTTTACCCTAAAAAATATATATTGCTTAAAAAGCAAGTTTACCCTATCAACTATTATCTGCCCATCAGAATAGGAAACTTCAGAAAGAGATTCTGCAATATGGCTTAGCTGTAAGATTGTCAGTCTTGAAAGAAGATCCACAGATCTAAGCATCTTCAAGGATGACAAATTAGAAAACTCTGACATCAAAATTCCTCGAAAATCTTCTCTTTTCAAAGCCCACAAGGTTCCAGTTGTGACAGCACGTACAGATGCTTGCAGTGGCTTGTTATACCTGACATATCATATTGTGTAAAAATAATATATTGTAGTTACATGCCCAGACTTATTTGCCAAACAGATTATATCGCAAGAATGAGGGATCAAACAAGTTTTCTTCTATTGGAGAAACATAATACATTTCAAGGGAAGAAAATAGAAAATCTAACAAAATTACCCTAATCAACAAGTACAGGTGAGAATATTACAGAGAAGTTGCAGTCCAGAAGTACTTAAACTCCCAAATCAAAGTGCCCTTCACTGTTAGATGTCAATTAAAATAAAAAAGCATTTGACAAATAACTAAACTATACTGATGAATCAGTTTTATGTCTCAAACAAACAAATCCTTTTTATTTCATAAGAGCAGTAAAACAATAGAAAAAAGAAAACAAAAAACCCACATCAGAGCCAGCTCGCCGAAGGACGATAATTTCTCAGCTGTATAGCGCTGCAGGACCCTAGGCACCTCTCTGTTCTTCTCTTCCTGCCGTGAGCCCCACCATCAAGAACCATATGTTAGAAATCATATTTCAATAGAAGAATAACACTCCAGACACAAAAATCACGTACTAGAATACTATTTTCAATTTCTAAGAAATTATTGAAGTTAGTATACCTGCTTTGAAAACACAAGCCCATAAGCAAAGCAAGAAACAAACCTGGGTTGCCAAGACCTCGAATTCTCCATTTCCAACAACATAAAAGCAGTCACCTTCACCACCCTGCAAAATATGCAAAAATTTACTCCTGTAGCTTCAGCTCTAAAATTACACCCAGAATGGAATTAGAGAAAAATATGCAATTACCAGTAACATTGATGTCAGACCACAAGGAGAGGGGTAAGATCGGGTAGGATTCTTATCATCTAATTGTTTATGCATTAATGTCGCCCAATCTTTTTTTCAGATGATAAATAGTAGAAAAACTGTAATAATATGACCACTTCATCCCATGCATTTTTCTCAAGATGTGGGTGGATTTTGTTAGCGTCTCCCATTATTGGCAGAACTCCATTCAAGTAAGAAATACTAAAAGGAAAAGTAAATGACCTGTTTAACAACGACATCCCCTGGCTGAACTTCAACTCTTTGCATGCAATCTAACAAAACATGACTTTGGGAGTCTGTAAGTTTTCTGAAGAGGAAATGGCCATCCAATGCTTGCTGAATTTGTGCCTGTGAATTATGAAACTTCCAGTAACTTAGCACCAGCCAAATACATGTCTTGAGCAAGAATTCCTTACTTTGAATAAGTTTTGCCACTTCTATCCCATAAAAAAATAGATCAAATACCAAAGTAAGCAAAGTGAAAATAATAAGAAAAAAAAATTACTTCTTCCTCCCACGTTTTCCTGTGGGCTGGAGATGAAGGAACCCAAAGATGCCCATTTTCTAGCGAGCTCTCAATAGCACGAATTCGAGCCCGTGATAAATCATGCCTGACACGCTGGTTCTTAGGGTTCCAGCTGAAGGTCGAAGGAGATTCTGATCCAGTGACCTCTACAACTTGAGGAACTGGAGGACGTAAGACAGCATCCTGACCAGTCAATTGGCCAGCGGAAGTCTTAACAAAAGATAAGAGTACTCCATTAAACATCCACCAATGATGGAAAATAGCATAAAAAGACTATTTCTAGGGAAAGCTAGTGAATAAGTTCTTACATCAGTAAGCCCATTGATATGCACAACTATCACAGTAATATCATCTGTACGAGTTTCATACTGTAGCCACAGCCTGTAAGATTCAGCCACAATTGCAGCACAAGCATCACGTGGGTCTTCATATTTTGCAACCTGGAAATTCAAAATGCAAAGAAGGAACATTGTTTACAAAGGAAAATGCAGGGAAGGTTGCATTGTTTTTTCCTCCTATGGAAGGAGACATAACAATAATACATGGAAAGATTCAAAAAATGTTCCAGCATCCTTTCCTCCTAATATTTGTGCCTGATCTACAACTCGGGCACATGACAATTTTTTAAAATTAAAAGCAAATTTTATGAATTAAAACTTCAAAAATGGAGGTTCCCAGATCCCGAAGTGGCCATCATGGAATCTTAAATGGGACAGAAGATTAGCAATCGTACTTATGCTGTCATATTTTATTGATGCATCCAATTCCAACCTCATCGAATAACTAACAGAACCATAAGAAAATGTCAGAGCAAGCAAACCTGAGTCGAGTTTGAACTAATCAACCTTTAGCCATAAATTGCTCGGAGTAAAGTCAAAGTCCAGTCTTCACGTTAATTAAACATCTTAATTGAAAAAAGAGAAGTGAAAGGATACCTTACCATGTCAACCACAGTTTGGCTAGAGAGAAACTCGAAGACTCCATCGCTAGCAAGTACAAAGAAGTGATGGTTTGCCGTCAGCTCTAAAACGACAATCTCCGGATTAGCCACAACCCCAATAGTCTCAGCAATCGAATCACCAATACTCCTTGTAAAAGCTGTGCCTGGATACATCCCATGAGGCACCCAGAGCCTAGGAGGATCACCATCATCACCCTCCTCAGTTCCCCAACACTGCACATTAGGATTCTTCAGCCCCTCAATCTGATCCAAGGTAAGCACTCGGGCCCCACATAGCTTTACCCGTTCAAGCTCGTCTGCTCGAAACGGTGTCTGATCGATGGATAAATCAACCGCTACAAGCTCTTCTCCTCTCCTCTCAGCTATAACAGCCCTGGAATCACCAGAATTTGCAACGTATATCGTCCTACCTCTAACCAAAACCGTGATTGCAGTCGTTCCGCTCATGCTATCATCCAAAGTATCATCATGCAGCTGAGAATTCGTCGTCAAAAAGCCAGAGTTGCAGGCCTCAACGGCATCCACATGAAATTTACTATTCCTAAGTAGATTCTCACATAGCTTTCTCTTAACAAACTGTGAGCACGGAGCACCAAATTCTCCATGTCCGTCAAATACCCCAAAGAAATTATCATCCGGGTTAGACCCAAACGGTGTGTGAATACAAAAACTATCCTGATTGGCTTTATCTAGAGCATCTGGATAGTACCCTCTTTGAGACAAGTAAGAGTACCGCAGTTTATAGTTTCCTGATGGCACCGTCACTGTTCTTGACCCGTCCGGTGGAAGAAACTGAGAAGAAACCCTAGAAAGTCTGGTGATGGCCAATTCAGGGTCTCTAGTTAAACTTAATTGGTTGATTTGGTCCCTGATTTCCGCTTCTGGTCCATCTGATGATGTAGGAGAGAACACGCCCAACTCTGTCCCTGCTGCTGTCGTTCTCGTAGCAGTTTCGGGTTCTTTGATTCTCGCTTCTCTAGTTGCACAAATCTCACCAATACAAGCTCTCGAGTAGACACAACCCATCACTGAAAAAAACAAATGGAGGCAAACACAGATCTCGAAATCATGAGCAAATTCATTTAGGATCGATTATCTGTGACTGTGAAGCATCACAAGGACTCTGAACGCCAGTTCATGTTCCCCTGCCTCCAGAAGTCACTCCACATTTCTCAAGAATTGGAACTTTCGAATCATAATTTCTTGAAATTTTGACTTGCTCCAGAGAATTTACAAGCATCGCCAGAGAATCTATGAATAAACGAACTGGTTTAACAGAATTCAATCAAATTCAAACCTTATCTACTGACGTATATACACAGTAAATGACGGGTTTAGCGGAGGGGAAAAATTCGAAACTGGACAAATCCCAGCAAAACCCGCTAGTTTTTCGCAATGAGAATCTGAAAATAAAATGTAACTGAAATTTTTTTAAATATTTGCAGAAACACAAGGCCAATAGCAAGTTCCCGATCTACTGCTTTCAAGAACCGTTACAAAAATATTTAAAAAAACCAAAAACAAAAACAAAACGAAACAAAATGAAGAGTGAGATTAAAAAATGATTACAGTATCAGGCACTCCTAGTAGTTCTTTACCACTAAAAAAACTATTATCATAATAATTTTATAATAATAACCCACAGAAAAAGTTGTCACTAAGCAAATAGAAACCAGTGCGTGCGAATTGTGAAAGAGATGGAGCAATGGAGACACCGAGAACTGGTTAAAGATTGAAAAAGTAAAAAGGATGACGAAAAGGAAGGAAAGAGAGAGCGAAGCAGAGGGAAATGGCGGCGCATTTTAGATGGTGGGGGACTGAGGTACGCAAGGTGCGTAAGTTGGTGAAGAAGAGGGGATAGTGGCGGTGATTGGTTGGTTTTAGAGACATGGAGAGTGGGATGATTGGGGTGTGGCGTAATACGCCAAGTGCGTAAAGGCAGCAGAGAGGGGTCACGATTATCTATCTAACAAGTGGATTAGGCGTACGATAAGAGGAGACGTGTCAGTGCCTGTTTGCAAAGAAAGAAACATCATAGCCTCATGTGGCCCACACACCCACATTTCTATCCTTCTACTTGTAAAAAATATGTGTGTGTGTATACAATGGAGGGAGGACAAAATTTTTACACATTTAGAGAGTGTTAAATAATTTAAATATGGTCAAACTTATTTGATTACGTAAATAATTTTAATTAGATTAAATCAATCGGCAACATGTGGTAGTCTCATTTATTGCAAAAATTTAATCATGAATAGTTATGTAGCTTAAATTATTTACACCCTATCGAAGAATGATAGTGCTTGGAGAAATTAGGTTCTATAAGTTTATTAGGATATAATCTCAGCTAACAATAAAATATGAAACAGTCAATCAAAATATTACACATTGCATTGTGAATCAATTTTAATATTATGTATCGTTAATAAATAAAAATTTATAAGGCCAAACATTTGCAACATTGCACAAAATAATTTAATTTTACATAATAATGAAGGTATTACTAATTCAAGTGATTTAATGTATTTAACAAAGTAATCCGTTTAGACATTTGTATGCCATTTATATTATGTAGATAACTAAATATTTTATATTATAATTTTTGTGCTTTTTTTTTTCTTAAATCAGTTAGTAAATTAACTCAAAATAATTATTTATTGACTAGCATCAGCTATCAACTAACTTGTATGAATCACACATTATACATATTTTTCAACATTAATTAAAAATCGATATGATTTTTATCACGTAGTATCAATTTTTTTATTTTTTTGGTTATGTACTTCAAAAAAATGCAATTAGCTACTCATTTATACTATTTAGTATAAGTAACATGTTGGACCCAAAAATTATTTATATTGTCAAGTCAATAATTTGATTTTTAATTTTCGTTCAAATCAGTAAGTGATTTAAGCAAAATAATACTTTAGATTAACAAAATTTTTATAAATCAGCTTCGTATATAAAGAATTAATCTTTATTATTTTTTTATTTATAATAAAATTTTATAAAAATTATAATTATTATTATTGACAGAGATTTGATAAAGTTGCATTAAATATATGTTTAGGTACGCCGCCACCAAAATAGAAACTAAGATTGGGAGTAAAAGAGATTGAGAAGGCCACCCACGTTGGTTAATTAGTTAGTAATTGATGGATATAACCTTTTCATTTGTGGTCCCTCCTCCCATCTCATTTTTTATATCTAACCTTAAACTCTTTTTAATCCAATATTATTGAATCCTCCTCAAATTTTATAATAAAAATATCTCTCAATTCTATTTTTATACTTTTTTTTGTAACGGCTCTGAAAAATTTTAAATAAAGATGTATGTATTAAAAATTTTAAGTGCAGAAGCGAAATAAAAATTCTGATTAACATCCCTTACACAATAACCATAAACGTATTCAACGTATGAAAGAATAAGCTAATTAAAAAAAATACTCGAAATAAAAACTATAGATAGAACTATAAAATTTTTAGGCGTCTAACTCGCCGTCTTCCTGCAGAACGGGCTCAGAAACTACGTCTTTCTGATCTGAAATAGTTAAGTAAGGAATGAGCTACACTATCCCAGTAAAAACATCACACTATCTCACTGCTACGGAAGTAAAGGTTGGTAGAAAACAAAAATGACCAATGGAGCATAATTTATAACGAACTCGTTTATTAACATAAAAACCTTTACTGTCCACTTACCTCAGTGAGATCTATGAAAACAACATATGAAAATAATAACCTTATAATATCATGAAATCATACACACTTTATAACATAACACATATCATACCTTTACATTTCAATCATCAGAAAACAGATTTCCTCTTTTACCAGCCTGCTAGTATCCATGGAGATCTATAGGGGGACCCCGCTACACATGAACCATTAACATTTACAACCTGATTCTAGGACCGTCCCCATACCCCGTCCGGTATGGGCGCCAAAACCATGAACCTCAATACCCCGTCCTATATGAGGGTGAAATGGGCCGTCCCCATACCCCGTCCGGTATGGGCGCCAAAACCATGAACCTCAATACCCCGTCCGGTATGAGAGTGAAACGGGTCGTCCCCATACCCCGTCCGGTATGGGCGCCAAAACACATAAGGTCTCCATACCCCGTCCGGTATGAGAGACCACATTCCCGGTAGGATTCCCTACGGACCCGGTCCGTCCACCATCTCCTAGGATATCTAGTCAGGCTGTCCACATTTTCCACTCATCAATTCACATAACATTTTTCCTATTTTTCTTTGGTCTCAATTATCCAATCATACACAAATACGTAAATCAATAATGAACACCAAACAAAACAACACAACATCGGGTTCATCATAATTCAAACCATAATAAAAGAAACCATGATTCATGCATACGTAACCAAAAAATAAATACATCAAATACCATACTATATTTAAAGCTGAAAAATAGATCAAACAACAACTGACCGAAAATACATTAGATTCGAGCTCCATTAGTAACCTTAATTAATTATACACATGTATTAATTTATAAAATGTCGTTTTATTATTTATTGTGCTTTAATACCGTGATAGAAAATAGGGTGAGAAATCCTTACTTGTTTTGGGGTCTGAAATCAACTTTACAGTGCGCCTACGGACTGTCCCTAATTTTTTTGAATTTTTTCCAGAAAATTGAAACGCACTACCGGTACCTGCACGTGTCCCAAAAAATCCCAAATCAGACCTAGGGCCCCTTTCGGCCAATATCGGAATTCCGGCACGGTGGCTCCGCCGTGTTCCGGCGACGGCGCTGCCGCTTGCGGCAGCGATTTGTCTCGGGTTGGCCGTTTTCGGCTGAATTTGACCAAACTTGCATCGGTCCTTGCGATAAAACAATTCTAGGGCCCTCGGTGAGCCAAAAAATCAAGAAAAACTGAGACTTACCGGCAGTGATGCTCTCGGGTGCGGCGGCTCATCCAGCGTGAGTCGCGTTTTGATGTTTGGCTCCGATCAACCTGTAGAGAAAAAAACAGTGATCACAGTGGTATAAAATTTGCATTGAACGGAGGCCGGGAAGGCCCTCATCGGAGGCAAAACAAAGGGGAGTCGCGGCGGCGCCGCTGGACTTCGGCGAGATTTTCTGGTTGTTTGGCCATAGGTGGATTCAGCATCGAAAAACGAGCCAGAGGGAGAAAATTTACTTCAATTGGCGGTCGGAAACTTCTCCAGTGCGGCGACGGGCGGCGACAGCCGGCTCCTCCGGCATCTGGTTCTTCTTCTCCGGCGAGGCACTGGCGGCTAGGGTTTTGTGGTCAGGTGTGGGTGCGGTTATTTATACCCTTTGCCTTTTAATCTCAACCGTCCATCAAGATTAAATCTGAACCGTTCGATCGCGATTTAATTGGAATTAAATCTGAGCCGTCCATCGCGATGCAATCTGTGCCGTCCGTACGCGTGAATCTAGGCCGTCCGTGCGCACATTTGATCTGGGCCGTCCGTGCGCACGGGAACGGATCTGGGCCATCCGATCGCGCGCACATGGATCGCCCACGTGGCCCGTCCCGTGTCAGCGTTTCCTTGCCACGCAGTGTGTCTTGGTTGGCCGGGGCTGCTGACGTGGCACAATTTTCTAAATTGCGTTTTGACCCCTAGTTTCTGATTTTTTTTTCAAAAAAACCCCCAAAATCTAAATTTTCACCACTTTTTCTCAAAATCAATTTCAATTAAATTCAAATAATATTTTTACCCAATTTTATCATTATTATTATTTTTATTTTACTTAAATTAAATTAAATTAAATAAAAATTTAAAAAATTCAAATACAAAAAAAAATAAAAATAAATAAAAATAAAAATAATATATTCTAAAAAGCATTTTTCTTTTTAATTTACTAATAGCATTCTCAATCTCAATTATTGTTTCTCAAAATGTTGCATTCTCTTATTGTAGATGATGGGTTGAAAATGTATAAAAATTGAGTTTTCTTTTCAATGATTAAATATATTAATTTTTTTTTCTTTTAATACATATTAAGTTACATTTTTAATCTATTATAATTGTCTTAATTAAGAAAATTTAGTTATTATATAATATTTTTTTTTAACAAAAAACATAATAAATTTATTAAAATTAAATTTAATTTGATCGCTCTTATATTCTATTTTAAAATTACGAATTTAAATTTTATTAAAAATATAAAACTTATCTCTTTTTAAATATATTATGCATCAGTAATAATCGATATGTAATGTTTGATAAATTAAATTTATTAATTAATACTTTATACATAATTAATGTTGTTTATATAGTAACATTTGAATACATAAAACAATAGATATTGAATATAGAATTTTTATTCTATAAAAAAAAAAAATCTAAAATATGGTATTCATTTAACACTTGACAGCATGTCAAACTTTCTATATATTTATTCTTAATTTATTAAAGTTTTAAACCATTGGGTCTTCTTCTTCTCTCAGCCGCTGCCCCCTAAACCACCGAAACCCTTAATCGCCGAAACCCTAAGATGCTACTCTCTCTCAACATCGCCTTAACGAAAAAAGGGGAGGCGTTGCCTTGCCTATAAACGAATCAGTCCACAAAGAAGTTTAAGATAAGGTCGGAGGAAAATCACTCTCCATTTTCGATGAGCAACAGAGTATGGAGGAAGGGATGGCGGACGGAGAGATGGAAGCAGAAGAGACGCCGCCCGACCCGAAAGTAAGCCGAATACGGTGGAACGATGCGACTCGTGCTGGGGCCGACCGCCTCGCGTCAATGGCAGGCGAACAGGGCCTGGTCCCAACGCCGATGGGAGGAGATGCGAAAACAAGGGAGGTGGAACGTTCTTGTGTGACCCGATCTGCGTGCCCGAACGTGACTTAGCTGATCGCGATTCAGAGGGTGGTTACGGAGGATGAGCTGATGATGGAGGCA